CCACGAAAATTTGATGCTATCGAACCGCTGTGTTTTCCAAGGCGCGGTTCGATAGCACCAAATTTTCTGAAAGGAGCCGCTTCCGAAAATTTGGTGCTATCGAACCGCTGTGTTTTCCAAGGCGCGGTTCGATAGCACCAAATTTTCTGAAAGGAGCCGCTTCCGAAAATTTGGTGCTATCGAACCGCTGTGTTTTACGAGGCGCGGTTCGATAGCACCAAAATTTCTGAAAGGAGCCGCTTCCGAAAATTTGGTGCTATCGAACCGCTGTGTTTTACAAAAGGCGCGGTTCGATAGCACCAAATTTTCGGAAGCGGCTCCTTTGAGAAAATTTGGTGCTATCGAACCGCGCCTTAGAATCCAGCCCCCCCCCTAAACCCACCGCCCCTCAACCCCTGAATCCACCTCCACCCTACCAAAGAGTTAGCGAAGATGTCATTCGACAGAACAGCCTCGCCGTCAGCGGTGTTGGAAATGGGAAGAGACAGCAGGCTCCAAACCGCCGTGTCTCACCCACCACTTCAAGGGCTAGGGATCCCACACATCTGCGGGCAAAATCTGGCGGAAGTGATCCGCCACCGAGCAAAAAGCCTGTAAATACCGCATTAAACAAAGGGCCAGGGATTTCACATATCTGGTGGCAAAATCTGGCGGAAGTGAGCAATCGGTACTTCTGTCAGATTTTGCCAACAGATATGTGAAATCCCTGGCCCTTTGTTTAATGCGGTATTTACAGGCTTTTTGCTTGGTGGCGGATCACTTCCGCCAGATTTTGCCCGCAGATGTGTGGGATCCCTGGCCGTTTTTACAGGCTTTCTGCTCGGTCGCGGCTCGCAGGGATTATACACCCTTGCCCCCACTCCACCCTCCCGCCCCCTTGATACCTCACTACCCACCCCCCTATCTCAGCCCCTTGCCTCGTACCCCATCACCACCCACCACCCACCACTTATTATCCACCACCCGGCACCCCTCACCCGCCACGCCCACCACCCACACCCTCCCCACCAACCACCACACACCACCCACCACACACCACCCACCACACCACCCATCACCCACCACCCACCACCCACCACTACCCAGCACCCGCCAGCCACCACTACCCACACCCACCACCCACCACCTACTCCTCCCCATCATCGTTATCACCATCCTATTATCATTTATCATCGGTTTATCACCTTTATCACCCACTCCCCCAAACCCACCCCTCACCACGCCAGCACAAACCCCCTGCCCATTCACATCCCTCCCCCACCCCACCCACTACCCCCACCCCCACCACGAACCCATTAGGGTCCAACAGGGCTGCGGACACCCCACCCCCTCTCCATCATCTTCATCATCTTCATCATCTCATCATGCATCATCTTCATCATCTTCATCATCTCCATCATCTTCATCATCTCCATCATCTTCATCATCTTCTTCATCGTCATCATCTTCGTTGCCGGTTTCATTGGTTTTAATACCGCTCCCTCTATTCTTAAAGGTAATTTCATAGGTATTGTACGAACCATAATACAATCGATTTATCTTAACTACTATATCAAGAATAGCTTACCACATCGCATCTACATACTTTGTAACCGGGCTTACTATAAAAGCCCCATATGAGGGATCCATAATGAGTTTCTAGAAAGTCTCTCTGTAAGGGATCTATAGTTTTTTATATAATGGGTTTCTATAAGGTCTCTACATAGAGGATCTATAAGATTTCTATAAGCAATCTGTAAGGGTTTTCCAGAAGGGCTCCATACGAGGGATCTATACAGGGCTTCCATGTGGTTTCTACAAAGGGTAAGGAATATATAGCAGTTGTCTATGAAAGCTCCATGTAAGGGATCTTGTCAAGTTTTCTACAAAGAACTCCATTTGTTGATCTATACGGGGTTTCTATAAGTTCTCTATATAGGGGATCTATAAAGTTTCTATACGAATCTATAAAGGCTGTCTATGAGGGCTCCATACAAGGGATCTGTGAAGGGATCTATAGGGATTTTTTCATGGGAATGTATACCTTCGATACGGATAATTGCGCCTTTGTTAAGATCGTGAAGACTATTAACTACGTGATATCCTTCTTGGCTAATGCTGTGATCACATCAGATCTGATATGTATAAAGATACATTGGAAGGCACATGGGAAAACAAACTGACACATTACAGGCCTTCTAATGTGTCAATATTCCTATTGAAACCCTAAAGGCAAGGAACTTATACACTGTAGGGCATCTGTATATTGGAAGGTCTCTGGGTAGTATAAACTGACGCATTACAGGCCCTCTAATGTGTCACTCCTTCCTATGGAACCTCTATTGCAATGGAACTTTTCCACTAGAAAACCCCTGGACATAATAAACTGACACACTGCAGGCCGTATAATGTGTCGCTCCACCTATGCTATTGAAACCCTACTGATAAGAAATTGATACATCGGAAAGCACTTTTTATGGACATAACAATCTGGCACATTTTCCCCACTATAATGTGTATCTTCACTTCCTGGGTCTGGACTGGGCAAATTGACATATTACATGCCCTCTAATGTGTCACTCCATTTCTCCTACTGAAACCCTACTAACAAGGAACTTATACACTGTCAGGCCCCTGTACCTGGGCATATCAAATTGACATATTACAGGCACCCTAATGTGTCACTCCACCCACTCCGATTGACCCTCTACTGACAAGGAACTTATACACTGGAAAGTCCAGGACATAACAGATTGGCACATTACATGCCCTGTAAAGTGTTACTCCACTTCCCCTGTTCAAACTCTATTGACTTGGGCATAACGAATTAACACATTACAAGCCCTCTAATGTGTCACTTCATCCCTTCTATTGAAAGTATATTGACAAGGAAAATCCTACTTTGGAAGGCTCCTGGACACAGCGACCTGACACATTACAGACCCTCTAATGTGTTACTCCATTCCCCATGGAAACCTATTGACAAGGAACTTATACACTGAAGCGACCCTGTATATTGGAAGGCCCCTGGGCAGAACAAACTGACACAATATAGACTCTCTAATGTGTCACTCCACTCCCGCCTATCGAAACTCTTTTGGCGAGGAACTTATACATTCGAAAGCCCCCAGACAGAACAAACGAACACATTACAAGCCTTTGACCTGTCACGCCCACTCATCCTACTGAAGCCCTCTTGATATGAAGCTGATACATCGGAAAGCCCTTCTTACGGACAGAAGAAACTGGCACATTGCAGGGGCTATAATGTTTCTCTTCACTTCCTGGACAGGGCGAACCAATACATTACATGCACTCCTCATATTGAAACCCTATTGACAAGGAACTAGTTTGTTCAGACCTGGCTTGCCTCAGTAGATATATGTAGCATATGTAACCCGCATACACGAGAGCCTTACAGAGGCTGAGGCAACGGAAATACGACGGCAATATGGCAGCAATGATTACAGGATTGCTGTACCGCAGGTAGAACAATTGGTACTGTCACGATTGCTTCGGCTAATCTTTCTGTTTGAGTTGGCGTATGTCTTTTTGTGGGGCCTGAATGGTTATAGGCAGTTCACAGTACTCTCCCTCGGGACGTAGGATTCCTAGTTGCAGGGGCGTAGACAATACTTACTATAATTATTTTTGATTAAATCGTTTGCAATTTCTGTTCGACTGCATTGGTACTGACACTATATATGCAGTACCTAATCTATGATTGTAGTGATGCTAACTTACACTAGGTAGGATTCGCAGGGACAGAGATGTAAGCAATACTTACTATAATTAATTTGGTTGTATTGGTGTTATTCGGCTGCAATGAGTTATCAACTGCGATTCGGATAGCACGGGCAGCATTACAAGCTGCTCGAAACGGGCACAGGAGGCGCAAATTTGCTTGCGGCTGCTGTCCCGCATAAGAGTGAGACGCTGCGTATCCTGTGCCAGCGCAGACGCGAGGGGCTTACAGAGGCTGAGGCAAAGGAAAGACAACTGCAATATGGCAGCAATGATTACAGGATTGATGTACCGCAGGTACGACAATTAGTAATGTCACGATTGCTTAGGCCAATCTTTTGTTCGAGTTGGTGTTTGTCTTTTTGTGGAGCCTGGATGGTTAGTGGCAGTTCACAGTTCTCTCCCTCGAGATGTAGGATTCCTAGTTGCAGGGGCGTCGACAATACTTAGTAGAATTATTTTTGGTTCCAGTGTTTGTAATTTCTGTTCGGCTACACTAATACTGACACAGTATATGCAATACCTAATAGATAATTATAGTGATGCTAACTTACACTAGGTAGGATTCGCAGGGACAGAGATGTAAGCAATACTTACTATAATTATTTTGGTTGTATTGGTGTTGCTTTCTGTTTGATATGCATCCTAATGACACGGACCTAGATAAGAAGTATTATAAGTAGTTTGCACGTAGAGGAGGTAACTTACGCTGAATAGGATTCATAGTCGCAGTGGCGTAGACAATACTAAAAAGAAAGATTTTGGTTACACTGTTTGTAATTTCTATTCGACTGCATTAGTACTGACACTATATATGCAATGCCTAATATATGATTGTAGTGATGCTAACTTGCACTAGGTAGGATTCGCAGCGACAGGGATGTAAGCAATACTTACTATAATTATTTTGGTTGGAGTGTTATTGCTTTGTGTTCCATTGGATTCGTAATGATATTGTTATAGGTATTAATTATTAAAATTCAGTTGTCTGTATAGGTGACACTGTATATTAATCAGGTATCAACGTGGCAATGGTGTCAGCAATAATGATAAAAATATTATAGACCTAAGTAATGCTAAACTTTTCAGAGCGTAAGTCTTGTAATATAATATGTAGGAACATATGATTTAGATAGGGATCTTATATTGTATATATGGCAGACTAGTTAAATAGACCCTAAAGGTATCGGGCTCATATATATATATATATATATATATACAGTAATCAGTAATCATTGTATCAGGGCTTTTGCACCGCGCCGTCTTAGGTTGATCCGATGCAGTTTGCGATTTTGACGTACTGGCCCTTTGAGAAACAGCCTGAGAGAGTCAGTTATCTTCAGGACCTCCTGGAGGCTGCTTTCAGCAAAGATGTCGACTCCGAGATCGTACGAAACAACGCGTGCGCTGGACAAAACCTGGGTCTAGGCGTGGGGCTGGTTGTATCATCATGGTCATCATCATCATCATCAACATCGCCATTATTTACCATTGCTAATATGGTTAGTATTATTACTGTTATTATTCTTCTTATCATGGGTATTCTCAGTACTCGTAATTTTATGATTGTTTTAGTACTCTGGTTGTTGTTATTACTGGGTTGCTTTTTTATTCTTTTAGAAAGTATTCTTATTATAAGTGTCAGTGTTAGTGTTATGATGAATGCCTCTGAGGATTATTCTTACTTTTAGTCTTGTTCTTATTGGTATTATTGTTAGTAGTAGTGTTGCTTTTATTGCGATTGCTAGTATGCTGATCATAATTGCTATTGCTCATGCTGTTATTGCAATGTTTGTGTTCGTGACTATGTACGCTAGGGTTTCTTGCTTGTGACATGGAGTCAGGGCCTGCGTGCCCAAAAGGAGAGTGCCTGTCAGCGTGGCCTGCGTCGATGTTGAACATGCACCGTGTAATGCAGGGGCCTTACCTATACCATTTTGGCGGTTTCTTATTATAGTTATAGCATAATGGGCCCCAAAACCCTATTCTAATTATTGAGGCTCTTACAGTAGTCGTAGAGAACATGGCAGGCGGTCTGACTGATGTCTCGAACCTAGCTTGCAGGTACCTCGGAGTTCTACTCCACAAGTACGCTTGCAACTCAGCAGTTCTACGGCGGTTCCCCCTCGAATCTTCTTGAAGTCGTGTTTGCAACGAGGGAACTGCAGAGAAAAGGCCGACAAAGACTGGCCTCGAAGCATTGGCTCCAGAACTCTTCCCCTCGGCTCTTCATGAGAGATCATGGCAGCGACCGACTTAGTTAGCAAGGTTATAAGTAGGTTATAATTAGGATCACCCCACTTAGGGGACTTATAACCCCCGTTATAACCTACTTACTAAGTCCCATGAAGCAGGCGCGCCTCTCAGCTCGGGAGGCAATCGGCACCGCTGGCTACGAGCAGAAGCTGCAGCGGCTGATCACGGAAGGGCGATTTATCCACCCACTGGACGGTGACCGGCCAAGCTTTGCAGACCTCGCCCACGCTCTGGCCAGGTATAGGGTTGGCTTGGTCTCCATAATTCCATAATCTCTTCGAGCGAGTTTTTAGAGGAAGGTTTCGTTTTCGGAATGCTCCAAGGCCTGGACCCCGGGGCTTTTGGGGATTCTTTGTAGGTGCTGTGGCCTGGTGCCGGAGCAGCCGGTGAGGGCCGGACAGGCGGAGGAGCTCGCGGCGGCGATCGGCAAAGCTCGCAGGCACATTGTCGTGGTGCTCTGCGATGGAATGGGTGTGAGCACACTGCATCAACATCTGGCTCCTGATAGCTTTCTCCGACGAAACAACACCCGCCAGCTTAGAGCCGTCTTCCCAGCGACGACGCCAGCGGCACTCACAACTCTTGCCACGGCTGCCTGGCCTGGTCAACATGGCCTTCCAGGGTGGGAGCTGCGAGATCAGAAGGGCTGTGAGTTCCCGGGGGCAGCTGGCGTCGGGCCGATCCAGCTGACCATTTTGGATGCGGTAGTGCGTGACATGCGAACGAGGAAGCCGGTGTCAGACCTTGGTTTCGATGCCTCTGACATCTACATCCGCAAACCCTGGGTATCACAAGGAGAGTCTTCAAGGCGAATGAAGTTTGTGAATGCCTACAATGGAACAGAATTTACCAACTGGTACCAGGATAAGCATTGCTCGAGTGTCATGAACATCCCAGAGACTGCGCTGGAAACGCTGGGCCAGCCAGAGGGGTCACAAAAGGCAGTTGAGTTTTTCAACGCCGGTGTCGATGCGGTCATCAGTAGTGTTACAGAATCTGAGGAAGAGGGATGGCAGTCTTATGTTTATCTTTACACCGCCCACCCTGACAAGCACATGCACCAGCTTGGGGTGGAGCATCCGGAAGTCACTGCAGTGATGACAGGCATCGACAAAAGCTTATCACGACTCTGGGAGCATCTGAGAAAGCTGGATGCGACGCTCATAGTCACTGCCGACCATGGACATGTTACTGTGAAGCCAGAGGAGATGGTTGTGCTGCCAGATGACCTACTTAATTGTCTTGAATATGCTAACGTGGGTGTGCACGGAAAGGGGCGGCATGCTTACTTCCACTGCCGGAGCGGTCGCTTGCAAGAGTTCCAGAGGCTCTGGGACACATATGAAACGTTGCGCGAGAACTTTCTTCTGCTGCCTGTGGATGTAGCGGCAGAGCTTGGCCTGTTTGGCCCCGACCCTCCCCTGCCAGAAGTCCGACCCAGGCTAGGGGATTTTCTTGGGATCTCATGTGGAGCTCATACTATTGTGAAGCCCTCGGAGGCCACTCGGTTTCAAGACCGCGCACAAGGATCTCATGGCTCTATGACACGTGAGGAGATGGAAATTCCTTTTCTGCTTTGTAGTCCGAATGCCTCAAACTGAGCCCACTTGGATTCCAGAGAACTGGACTGCTTCAATGAGGCACAGATCATCAGCATCACTGTGGACAGCGAAAGCCCTCGAGGCTGCAGGGATGGATGCACGAGGAGGCAACTGGTGATGCAGGATGATGCAGTTAAGTCGAAGCCCGTTGTCTCTTTCAGCATCGCCACAAGGGCACGATGCAGACGAAGCGAACTCAAGACCATGCTGCATGTCAGCACGGACCACGACCACTAGCAATGCGTTTGGGCCTCCAAGTCTTAGTAGCTGAGTAAGTGACCTTCAACCTTCTGAGGTTTGTATAACCCTACCATTAAGGTTATCCTTTTTGTGGGCTGGGGTACTCAGCCCCTCAGAACTTTCATCTTGCCGATCTGGTTCCCGAAAAGGCAGTGTCGGGCCCAAAGCTTCTGGGTATTGGCAGATGTCCATCTTCCCCGTGCATGTGGGTTGCAGTGAGATCAGAAGCCTCCCAACATGCCCCAAGGGGCCTGAAGAGTTTGTACATAAGTAGTGTTTACAGATGTTTACAGTCCATTTGTAGTGTTATTACACATCTCTTGCTGGGGGTGCAGGTCGTGTTTGGGTTATGAAAGAGACACCACACCCTTAATGGCGCGCGCCGAAGAAGCTCCTAGAGGCCGGTTACTGTCCCCCGGAACCATATTATGCAAGCCTTATATGTATATATATATATATATATATATATAGACATGATATTATATTATGCGATTTTATGCTATTCAGAATCTTTGGGCAATATGCAGGCCACTGGGCTTGGAGGGGAATGTCACTGAGGCTACCATGGGCTATAAGGAGCTACTTTAGCAATTAGTTCTCACGGAGCTAGTTTCGGGACCGTAAGGGAATACTCTTCATTTATCTGTGCTTGTTCGGACGTCTTGAGGATCCTCCTCCGGAGATCTTCCGCAGCGTGGCCGAGATGCAGCTGCGGATCCTTGGTTCCGAGGAAAACCCGAAAAAAGCCCGAGGGTAAAAGTTTGCAAGGGTTTAGGGTGGAGCTCCAGCAATTTCAATTACGGGCGGGGAGTTCCGGACGATCAATCGCAAACAGAGCTTGCCTTTGGATACCCAGCAGTCAATTCACGCGGAGACCGCTGAAGCCACAGAGGAGCCAGATGCAGAATCGAGCTGCACTTTGCTGCTGCCGCGCGAGGCGCTCGCCCAAGTGCTGTCTCATCTTTGTGCGGCAGACCGGAGCCGTGCTTTTGGAGGCTCCCTGCGGCTTTCTGCGCTTTCTCATCTGCAAGAAGTTTGGACAAGACGAGGCGGGACCGCCAGTGGGGCCGGGATCCTCTTTCAAGATCTTGCGCGACGCAACAAAGAGACGGCAAGAGGGATCAGACGGTAAGGGCTCGCCTCTATCGCCCAGCTGTCTGCGTGAAGCATCAAGTTTTGAATTTCAGCACATTGCAGAGCAGGAGCTTCCACCGACTGGGATGGTGTGTTTAAGTATTCAAGGCTGCCAGCAGCCGCTAGATGTATTTCAAGGCAGTGCTCACAGGTTTCCCGTGAAGCCACCCTCAGCAGCTTCACAACAACAAGATTTCCTACCTGCTTTCCAAGGTCGGCAGTTTCTTTGACAGCTCTTTTCAGTCGGGAGCCCTGGCAACACGCACTCAGAAACTCAACCACGCTTCTCCAGGCCAGTCTCATTTCCCGTGAAGAGTCGCTTTGAAAAGTCCAGCCCTACCACAACCAAAGCTTCCCACCTTGCCTCAGCCCATGTCATCGTGCTGTTTGTGCTGATGAACCCTGAGCTTACAGCACCGCCATGCTGCATGATTGGAAGTTGTGCTGCTTCGCTCGGGCGAGTTCGCTTCAGTGAAACGACAGGCTACAGTAGCGACAGCTGCGGTCGAAGACCTGACACACGGAAACAGCACGGATCCTTGGCGCATGGCTGCCTACATCAGCTACAACTACAGCTTCGTAATCGCCACAGCAGCTTTGCCATGCCGCCGCGACGGAAGAGACAGAGAGGCTGCCAAGCTTGACCGATGCGCCCAACCCGGCCCAATTGTCACATGCCTCCCAGATCCCTAAGCATGCTCTGATTCCGAGTTCGTCGAGTGGTTGTTTGTATCGCGTGTGCGACAAGAACTATCACCGGTTTTTACGGTGAACCCAAACCTAGATTCGGTCAAGCAGCGACAGCCCTAAACTTAGTAGACCCTTCACTGCCAGACCCGGGATCCTCGCTGTGGTCTGTCCGAGAGTGAGTGCTGAAACGGGTAGTTTCTTCTTCAAGCCCTGCATGCGTCTTTGATATGCCTTAGTAGTGATACGATGGACTATGTAGAGCCTTGCCTGCCTTGTGCGAGTGTGAGCATCGAAACTAGTCGGCGAGTCCAAGAAGGGGTCCAGAAACCTTACACCTCAACCGAGGAACAATCTTTTAAGCCTGAAATTCACCCAATCCCGTGCAGACCTTGCAGCCTTGTTCGTTAGTGTAGCCCCTAGATTAACGAGACGAACTTTTTTGCCACCTACACCCAGATGAGCCCCGTTCATTCGAGGGGCCGTGGCAGTTTCCTCGGAAGCTGCACCTGCTGCAGAGCCTACTGAGGTCGGGTCGGAAGTACGGGGGTCAGGCGACTATAGTCCTGTACTATTACTGTCCTGTTGGTGTTCGTGAACGACTACAAATGTTGCTAAAATTTCTCTTATTGCAAACTTCATGACCAAGGATGGTTAGGTCTAGGCAATTGGTACTATCTGCTACATACCTTATCGAAACTGCTGCCAGTAGTCTTGTTGCAATCGCATGGTGCGTCAGCTTCTGTCCAAGACGATTTGGAGTGGACTTTGAGGGTTTCGGGTATTACTCGCCTGCAACTGCATGGCAAGCCTGTAGGCGTTTCGCACATGTAAGCCTCAGTCGTTTTGCATTTCAGGAGTTGGGGGCTGGATGCAGACAAGGAATTTGGTCTTCCCAAAATAGGCAGGCCCCAGGTGGCAACATACATCTTGCAACGGATACGGTCCCTTGGGTTCTTTATCGCTCAGAGCTCCCACAACATCTTTCCGTTTGAACAAGGCTGTTCAAACTGGCCTTGTCGTTTACATAATCTGTCATTCAACATGTTGTGTTTGCAGAGCACGTCCCACCGTGCTAGGTCCAAACTGGGTTAAGGTATAAGCCGGTAAAATGTGAGCGTGGGCGGCTGTTGTTCCGGACCTCCCGCAACCTTAGCCTCCATCCCGTCTTGACATCCACGGCGCCCATGCTCTCAGGCTGCCCTATGGATGGGATGGTGCCAGGAGGACTTGGAGAAATTGCACCAGGAGGCCGTCACAGCACTCATGCCGAGCGAGAGCATCTTAGATTAGGTGGCTCCGAGTCTTAGGTATTGCTTATTATTGTTGCTATCATGATTATCATGGTCGTTACTGTTGCGATTAGGGGTAGTGTTATTACATACACTAACCTTGTTCACATATCTTTCTATCTATAGAATGTGTGTATATAAGCTAAGAAGAGCGAGCTACGCTGCCACTCAGAGCTTGAGGAGCGATTGGGGATTGAAGGAGATCACGTGAAAGATGTTCCTGTCTAAACATACCTGAAATATTCATACAACTATGGAGTACAGTTTCGTATGAACTCTTGCAACATGGCAATGTCTATCAGAATTACTGTGATCGGTCATGCCACTTCGGAGTTGGATGCTGTCAGCCTATGCCCAGAGGCGACATAACAGTTCCGTTTTGGGGTTCATGTTTGGAATCCTATAAGGTAATCAGAAAAGACACTACTATGGTTCCTATGGAGCTCATGGGTGAGCTCTTATCGTTGCCTCGAAGCCGCAAGGTGGAGGCAGGCGCTTTGGAGGCCGCAGGGCGCAAACTCGAGGAGTCGTGCTAAGAAAGGGGCCTACATAGTTTTCAAGACTATCTCGGGGTTTCTTACTGTAGTTATAGTATAAAGGGAATCGAAACCCTGTTCCATTTATCAGAGCCCCTATATTAGGATTTAGGGTGTCTCTGTTTTTGCTCGTCTGTGTCTCTGTGCTTCAGCTTCACAGTTTTTGCAAGGGCCGTTTGGGCCTGAAGCCGGGAAGCCCTCTCGAATCTCTCTTCGGGCACTCTTGTAGTTATTCCCCCGGCGGATACAGCGGGGGGCGGGCATCGACAGCCTGCGCCTCACAATTCAGAACACTAGCCTGGCGGCTTGCGTGCAAAAAGAGACGATTCGCTGGCACTGGCTTGCAGATGTGAGGGGGCCGTGTGCGTGTTTTCTTTTCAGCTCCTCCTCTCTGCAAAATTGGCGCGTTCAAGTCTGTCAAAATTCGTCAGGGTTTGAGGGAGGCCCGTGACAATTCGGAATCTGATTGCAGGAAAACTGAGTTATCTCTGTCCTTCATCTCCCTGTATGCAGGAAGAAGGCTCCTTTCCCCTGTGGGCCTCGACTATAAGTTGATCTAACACGCGATGTTTTCACTATTCTAATAGATTCTAACCATACTCAGTATACTCCACTGTTTTGGTATAGGTGGGCGTGGAGCTTCCCGCCTTTCTGGATGCGACGAGCTTTTGGGAAACGCCGGGGTCTGAGAGATATTTGTTCGGCAAAAATCAAGATAATTTATGAGGCCAGAATGATCTGAAATGTAAAGCTGTCAAACGAGGAACTCTTTCGCTGTCAAAAGGATGGTAACTTACTGTTGGGTAGTTGTTTCTGGCTCACTATGCATCGTCGTTGACAGCGTAGCCCGTTAGACGACACCGGTCTGATGCGCATGTTAATGCCTCGACGAACCAGCATCGCTGCAGACCTTGCCAGCCTTTGTCCGAGTGTGAGTGTCAAAAAACGATGAATCGGAAAGTACTGGCACGATGGCGAGTAGCAGCAGATGTCATCATCGACACTGATCCGCAAGCTGCTGATGATCAACGTGGCAACCATGCTGATGATTATATGAGTCGCTTATGAGGCTTTAGTCGGGATGGGGAGGACAAGGATCACACCGATGTTGAAGATAATTTTCAGCCCTCGAGCCAAAGCAGGGGCTTCGTCCTTGTCAAGTGGGAGGGACAAAAAGCAGTAGCAGCTGCAGCCCGCAGTAGCAGCATCGCTAGTAGAGGCAGAAGTCTGGCAGTCGTCATCGCTGTCGTCGTCGTTGCAGTAGTAGTACTAGTACTAGTCGTCGTCCCGTAGTAGTATGGAGCGCGAGTGGTCGTGGCATTGCCCGCACGCTGCGACAAAGTAGAGTAGCAGCAGCAGCAGCAGCAGTAGCTACCCGGACTAGTAGTAGGCCAAGCCGAGACGACAATGTTTGCACGATTCACAACATGCTACCTACTCAGGCTAATTTCTTCTCGTCAGGAAGAGGTGGTCATGTTCGTTGCGAGAGTCGCGTGGTATGGTACCGGGGTATCGGACCAAGTTGACCGTACCGATGGGATCATGACGTACTCTGAATAAAAGTTGAAAGCATTGGCGGCATAAGGATGCCGAAATTGATAAGGTAGGGGGCTAAATAATTAGAACAGACTTTTGGTGGCTGTTTGTCCTTTTATTTTTGTATATACCCCAAAACCCTATTCGAATTATCAAGGCCCCTGCAGTAGAGGGCTTGGCAAGCTTAAGCGCCCCCCCACCCGTTGCCCAAAGATCGAGCAGGCCACGTCGTGCTCGGCAAATTGCGGAGCGACTTCGGAGCCTGGCAGAGGAGGGTTTTAGGGGTTTAGGGGTTTATGGTTTAGGGGGAGTGAACTCTGAGTTCACTCTGGCTGAATTCGAGAAAGTCTAGGGCTTAGGATGATTCGGCGTTTGAGGCCTTGGGTCTTGGTTTATGGTAGCCTTTTTCTTGCTCTGTGGCATCTTCGAGAGTCTCGTACGCGTCTTGCAGGCAGCACTTCTGGCAAGCTGTGATGTGTTGTTGGGCAAGTTGCCCATGCTCAGAGGTTTGTTTGAATTCTTGTGATGCAAGCTGCAGATTGCTTCTCCTGTGACAATGCACTATGGCCTCGACTTGGGTAGTTGTCAAAATTATGGTTCCTTTTTGGGTACCCTAAATACTAGGTGCTGTATTATATTAGGGACCCAGAAAGGGACCCTAACTTTGACAACCACCCACTCACTTCGATTCATGAAACCTTGTGATATGATGGCAGCATGTGCAGATGAGCACTTGCACAAGCATACTACGCCACATAAGCGTGTCTGTATGCGTATGTGTAGATCTATATGTAAATCTTTATACATACATATACATATGCAGGTGCATGCTGGCATACGTGCATGCTCTGCATGTGTATCAGCTGTTTTCATGTTTGTCGCCAGCATCATGTGCAGCATCTGCTCCATGTTCGTTTAACCGAATATACTCAAGAAGACCCTGCGCTCACACGGAATGGCGAAACCACCCCAGCTCGACCTGCGAGGAGCTGGATGCTCAGATCGACAGCCTGACACCGATTACTTTGCCTAGTCTCGATGGTGATTATGGATGGTGTTGTTGATTAGTGAGAGTCCTTGAATGTTCTGCACATGGGCCACAAAAGGGGATTGCTAGGAAATGCAGGTTAGGTCTTGAACAGTCCCTAGTTGCGGACAATCGATGGGAATCATGTGCTTTCCGTGCTGGCTCGGTGTCAATCACGGGTTGCTAGAGCAAGGCGCATACCAAAGAATAATGCAGCTCGAGTCGCCGCGCCGCAATTAAAACACATGAGCAGAAGTCAACAGAGTGTGCTCACATCAGCCAGGATAGCATGCGTGTGGCCTTGTCGTAGGAAGCTGGAGTGCAGACTTCGCATGGGGAATGCCTGGCACCACCTGCTGCCATGCGGACGTGCTGAGATAGTTCTATAGCAGACTGCTAACCCTTCGCATTCTGTTTGTGACCTGCATCTTGGCTGAGTCCGCTAGGCGTGGTCTTCTAATCATGGCTTCTGAATTCTACATCTGCCCTGCTTTCATCATCAAGAAGAGGGGTGTCGAGACCATGATGCATATGTGGCGTCCAGGAAACAAAGCCTCTGGGGAACAGGAGAAACTGTTTATGGCTTGCAAACAGTCACTTTTTACTACGCTGTTCTTCTTTTCGACCACGCATGTCGTGAGTGGATCTGACAATGTCAACTGTCCAGACGCTTCAGGACCGCAAGAACCCGACACGAGACTCCGCCTCGCGACTGCTGTTTTCCCCAGCTGTGTGACTTGTTGTCTCATACTGTGTTTAAACAGGTGGCAGTGGAGTAGTGCCAGATCGAGTATGGGGTGTGCTAAATTGCCAGGGCCGTGTGCGCAGTGCTACAGAGCCCGAGCTGCGTTGTGGCGGTGCTACTGCAGCAAGGCACCCCGCAGCAGAAGCCTTAGGTGTACAAAAATGCCACAGCAATGGAAACGTCAGGACATCGATGTATCCTCAACGCAACTTAGAATACAGCTAACGCGGCCGTACATCCCCAGCATTCTTTACATCTAGGAGATGCCCAGTTTTCTGGTGAGTCGGGCGAGTGCGGTTGGGGTGGGTGGGTGGGGTGAGTGTGGGGTGTGGGTGGAAATTCATGGGTGGGGATGCATTGTTTTGTTCACAGCCCGCTGGCGGCAGCCCGCTTGCAGCCCTGATCTCGAGGTACTTGCGACAGCTGCGCAAAGCAGTGCAGCAGGCGGTCTGCTACAAACGTGTCAATCAGTTAGAATAAGTTGCGGCCTGCGCCATTTCTATGGGGCCGCTAGACCAGAACAGCTTCAAACGGAGCCAAATTATCGTCGTGCTGTGTTTTTTGTCAGTTCCAACTGTATTGAGATTGTATCGAGTTTTTGGACGGTTTAGAGCCACCAACGTCTTTTGACATGAACAAAGGATCCTCGCCAGCTTTCCGGTCCATACTCGCAGCGAGTGGACAGAACAAAAGTTGTCATGCGGCTCACCAAGCTCGGGTCAGAGCATGAGAAGAAGTCGGGCTTGGCGAGAATGAAGCCAGCCCTGCCTAGTGCAGTACGGTGGTGGCACTTGCTGAACAATCGCTGGAGACACAGGTAGACAAGCGGAGACGCGAGAGACCCGGACAGAAAATGACAGAAACAGAGGCAGAAATTCGGCCCAGACATAGAAATGCCACGCAGAACGCAGCCTGATCGCGCCCAGCCTGAAGCGGGAAGAGCAAACGCTCGTGGTGTCCCTGTCCAGGCCGGGCGGGCCACAGGAGGATGGAAGTGGCTGGACACTGACAAGACTGGGCTGGGCTGCTGGTTGTTTGTTGTTTGTCTTCTTGAGGAGGTCTACTCTTGTCTTTGGGAGCAGTTGTTGGGATCTTGCAATCGATTCGCATATGCTGAGCCTGGTTGCAGAGGCGCGTCTGTAGACCGATTGTTATTTAGGCAAGGTTTGTTCTGCAGGTCATACGTCATACGTGTTCATGTTGCATGACAAGCGCACAAGTGAGCAGGGCCGAATAGCAAATCTTGGAGGGCTCAAGGGTTACAATGATTGCACATAGAAGTGTGGCTGCAACATTGTGGCTCACAGCATTGGGCTGCGGGACGGAACGCCTCATGCCGGCGTCGGAAGAGGCTCCGTCAAGCGTTCAGTTTGACATGAGGGTGTTACAGTGATTGAATCAAGTCTGACTTGCGAGACTTTGCCCAAAGGGTAAGATGATGGTTGGTTTGCTTCTCAGGCCCCCCCCCTCTGTCTGCATTTGAATCAGGGCCTCGGATTCTCCCTTTCAGGCGACGGTGCGACTGACAAGGTTGGGACTGGAAGGGGACGGTGTAAACCGCCAGCTGCCACCCGGCCTAGAGAGCTTTGAGAACTTCTGGGAGTAGGATCGGGTTGAGTGGGAAGCCGAAGGACTTGACATTGAGATTATGTTCAGTTTCGGATGCTTTGTTCAGCTTGCTCCAAGTGTATATGCACAGGCACACATAGGGCCCACGTCCGGAACGGTGCTGCATCCGAGGTTCGAGCTCTTGTGGAAGAGAGACCTTCTCAGCGATCAGTCGGTCGCCCTTCGTGCCTTGGCTCTAGATTCTAGATCATTACACGCGTCAGCTCGTGGAGTTCCGCGGCTGTGATATGTGCACACCCCTATGGGCATAGCGGCACCGCAAATTGGCTGAGGGATACCCGACACCATCGTCTTCAAGTTCAACTACCCGTCCTCATCTCAGCAGGGCACAGTCATGAGATCGGAAAACTCGGAAAGGTAGACAGGTTGCAGGTGTTTGTGGTGAGAGGCCATCATTCAACTGACCAACTGCTGCCCATAGCTCTTGCATGGACTTGCCCCTTCCTTGTAGCCTAGCTCGGTTTCGCGTTCAAATCCCCAAAACCCTCAATCGCCGTCTGCATTGCCCGAGTTGCGAGAGCCCAAAGCCCCTTAAAGCGTAAACCCGAGGTCAGTTTGGTACTTCACGTCCTTGGATGGCACGCTGAAGCGCAAGCACAAGTCGAAGCTGAACGATGAGCAACCGGCTTAGCCCTTCCTTGCAGATGGGGAGTTCGCCGAGTTAGGGTCCGTCGTTAGGTCGCCACAAATAGTACGGCACCCTGAAAACGGGACCCTAACAGGCACCCTGATTTAAAGAGAACGACACCTTTGTGATATCCGAGCGTTGGTTCAATCTAACTCTGCGCATCTTCCTTGATGGGTTCCCAGGGAAGTAATCTGGAATTGGTGTCTCCGCTTGGAGGTATATCTTTCAGCAATTCTTGAAGCGACCTCCAGCGTGTGGCATCGTTGCCTACTATGTGTGGGCCTGAGCTACTCTTGAATCTAGAAGATGTGAGACAGCGCTGCGTTCGTGCCTCCGAACTACGCCTGTGCGGCATAGTTTTAGCAGAGCTCCCCGGAGGTCCGGACTGTCGTCGATGCAGAGGATGCTCATAAAGGCCTCTCGGCCGATGTCGGTGTTCTTGCGAGCTTCCATGCAGTGCTCCTGTTCCGAACCATTCTGCGCAAGAAACGGGAGTGGGTTCAGGGCGGAAGCCGATTGCTGTGAGCTGCTGTGTGCCGGGCTTGCGGAGGCTTGGCTGAGAATGTCCCGGCTCCGACTACCATTGAGTACTTGAACGAGGCTGGTCCCGCACCTCTCTCCTGAGCTCACGCCGGAATGCAGCGCTGCTTGATGTAGCCGCGAGCTCAAAGTTCCTGAGCTCCTAATAGCCGCAAGCGGAGTTGTGCAGGCTCAGCTGCATGACTTCTTGTTCAACAGGCTCCTCGGCTGCCATGGCTCAGACTCCCTCCCAGGTCAAGGCCCATCTGCGCCCCAAGGGTTCAGGAACGACACGCTCCCCAATCTGTTGCGACAGGAGGCCTTTCAAGCAACCCCAAGCCGTGATTCTTCTGACCGCAATGGCATTACGGAGCTGGGTTGAACGAACCTAGGCAGCGGGAGAAGGGCAGCGGCTTGCTGCAGAAGTTCCTGGAGCCCTTCGGTGATCGTACATCTGGCTGCAAGAAGGTGCTGGGAGAGAACCGCCCCAAGAAACGAAAGCTGCCAAAGCCAGACCATCGCGAAGCTGATGCCCCATATTTTGGGGTTTGAGTCCACAGTCAACAGGAGCAGGCTTCACCTGTTTGGGACGAGTTTTGAACAGAGGGGAGCGGAGAAAGCCAGCCTGTAAGAAGCTGCATGCAATTCGACGGACGGAGGAATGGCTTACCGGCGGTTTTCTGTCTTTGTCAGTGTTGCAGCAGCTTGGTAGCTATCTCGGATGTTGAGCTTTAATCGTGGGAATAGTGGAATTGGCACCTGGAAGCCAAAACAGCTTCTTGCAGCGGGGCTTCGTGGTTTCCTAAGACGCATGTGGTGCTTTGGCGTGGATCTTGCCTGTTCCAAGAAGCATGGAAGATGTAGCGGGATCATGCAGTTCTCGAATCCTCGGTATAGTTGGCCGCAGGGAACTTAAACAATGCGGTTCCTTATTATGATAGCTTAAAATTAATCCTGTGACACAAAACCCTAAATCCTTACTTACTGAGGGCAAACTTCAGTGACAAGAGGTGAGTGTCACACGGATGGAGAGACCTCGTCTCGCGCAGTCCGAGTTGCGAGAGTGTAAACGCTAAACCCATGCGAGAGTGCAAAAACCCTAAACCCTACGTCCCTACCCAGGGAACAACATGATCCGCGCCCTCTGGTCGCCCAAAGTCTGCCTCCTCGAGCGGCGCCTGAACTGCGGCCTGGCGAAGGGGCTTTTATGTAGGGGCCTTAATAATTTGAATAGAGGTCCTTTAAAAGGGTCCTATAAGGGTTACTCTAAGGGTACTATGACATAGTGGCCTTCATAATTACTTATACTATTTTGGGGTTCCTTACTATAATTATTGTCTAATGGCCCCAAAACCCTATTCTAATTATTACGGCCCCTTCATTAGGGGTGTTTCGGGCTTAGGGTTGTGTTTCCGACTTCAGGGAAGAAGAACAGAGATGTGGGAGTTACCGAAAATTAGGGGTACCTTGTTCTGGGGCCCTTATGACAAGGATCCTACTATTTAGGGTACTATCTCAGGGCCCCCAATTTTCGGAAACTCGCATGTATCGTGAAAGACAGGTCTCGTTTTGCAGAAGACCTTCTGTCAACAGCGCTCCTCCAGCATTCCGTCCGTCGCTGCAGGCATGCAGTGCAGACTTGCTTAGCGGCTCCACAAACTCCGCCAACATCATCGTTGTAGGCGTCCGCTCATGCATCGCAAGGTCTCAACCTAAACGACACCCGCTACGACATGTACGAGCGGGCCGTGACATTCGAGGGACCCGACTTCCACTCCGAGGTGTGCTAAGAAGTCCATTCTTCCTGGAACGCTTCTCCTGGGTTGACTGCTGCTGGGGGTTTAAACTCATTACACTTGGCTACCACAAGCAAGAACACCTATTAACTACGATAGATCCAAATATGGAAATGGACTACCACAAAACAAAGATCCTGTTATGTACTACAGAGCCTTACTTTGGAGACTTGCTTGAAGTCTCCTGAACAAGAAGCAAGTTTTCTCCTGGCAGGTCACCCCTGTCAGGGGCTCGACCCTCGCGAACAAGGTTCTTCACATTGCAGCTCCTTGTCTGAAGCTGTCTAGGTAACATAGGAGCCTTAATGGTTAGACTAGGGTTGGGGGGTATTTTTTGATTGACATAAGGACACCCCCCAAAAATTACAGCCTAATTATTCAGGCCTCTGCATCAAGACAGGAACCTGATTGAGAAACGAGTGGTCCTTGTCAGGTTTCTTCACCTGAATCCTATTATTTTGGGGTTATAGGGCCAGGGTTACTTTATCAGGTTCTCACATTAGTGGAACTCCGGTGTTGGAGTGTGCTTGGCAGCAGCTGAAGCACGCCGGCCCACGATACCTGTCGGTGGGGGTCCAGCCTGACAGCATTCTCGAAGAATGTGAGAGAAGTGATTTTGTGAATTCTACCAAGTCAGGGATTGTCAGGAATCGCACGCTGCGGGGTGCGTGAGTTGCGAGGGTCTTTGCATCGCGAGTCCTCCGAGACTTTCCGGAAGCCCGGAAGCCTCCAAGATAGCACAGAAACCCCTGGTTTGCCAGAGCCAGAGCCGGGGCGCAGATTAAAGCCCAAAGCCCAACAGCTCTTGCCCTGAACCGTCCCTGCAAAAAGGAGACAATTGTGCAGCATGTCAAAGGGGCCACGAACGACCGCACCCGGCCTGCATGCAAGAGCGGAAAAATCACGGAGAGCTAGGCAGTGGGACTCCATGTGAAAGAAGTGCTTGGTAGTTATCTCGTTCGTGGATGGTCGCATGTCCATGCATAAATGGCATAGCTTCATACGCATATGCGTGGCAGCGATTGCTGATTATTATGTAGCTTTCCCTATTTCGCCCTCAGCTAGGTTTAGGAGAGCACGTAGTTCCCCTCAGCTCGACAACAACCAACTGTGGTGACATGGGATGACATGTCATACAGTAGCACGCATTCACATGACATGGACGTGTGAAGTAGATCTTGTTTTGTCGTATTCCAAATCATTTCCAGGAGACTCCAGCCTGCATGCACGTATGCCGGTCATACAGACCGTCGCTGAGTCTTTCGGATACCCGCTAACGCGCAGCTGTCATGCTTGTCCGGCTTTCAAGAGATAATTCTGTGCCCGGTGTATCGGTCGTTGTATCCGCTATAGAGTCACACTACGTCTCACTGCAGGTCCTTGTTTTCCTGTTTCTTTGGATAAATTATGGCCCAAGGCGTGGACATCACCCGCTTGGCCCTGAATTTCAAGGTGGATCACAAGGTGCGCCTGTTCGCTGTTTAAAGGGACTCATGAGACTCTCACGGGAAAGCCTGCGCAAGCTGACCATGCCAGCCAATGGCGCGCAACTTGCATCGCAGCCTACTTGAAGATTCCCGTGGCAAACTCTTTGCATTCAACCATAAGTTATTGTCACAAATAGAGAACTGGTAGCACTACTGAGAAGCTTCCAAGTGCCCTGGTCACTTGCATGTTAGCACTTCCTGAGGACCACCTGTATTTTCTCTTCGCCTCTTCTGTGCGCCCTTTGGCTAAAGATGAGGGTTCTTCGACGTACTTGCATCTCTTGTACCCTTCGGATGGTTTGCCTCTTACTGGTGTCTATCCGGTCGGAGTCATGGGGCCCAACCGAGCCTCCATCACGGGAGCTTGGCCACTGAGACAACCCTCACATGGCTTGTTGCATCTCTATACTTCCCGGCTATGTGGGAGAAACTCCCCACCAAGGGATAGTCACTGGATAGTTTCTGCAGACATTGTACAGCCCGGAAGCCGTTATTGTGAAGTTTCACTTCAGAGCTTCATCCGCAACAGAAGGATCTTCACTAGAAGGGACCCTAGATGGGTTTGATTGCATGTTCAACCCCTAAGTTAGGTGCCCCTACTCGTATCCCCTAATCTACCCTTACATAGCTTCTTAGCTCCAGGCCTCTCCGCCCCTACTGGGGCGCTGCCGCTGGAGGCCGTTCATGGCGATCAGCGGGCTCCACCGAAACAAGCCCAGCTTATCTTACCTTTGGTTAGTAGGGAATGAAGGAATGGCGTACAATTATAACTACTGTTATTACCAAAGGCCCTAAGTTGAGGACTACCCTTTGAATTTATTCATTTCGTGGGACTTCTGGATATGACTTCAAGGCCTTCTCCTCGATTCCGGGGTCTTGGGCTCTCTGCTTCTTCCTGTCCCGAAGGCTTTCGTGCCGCCAGTTCGAGTCTGATTTCCGACTGTGGCAAGCAAACTGAGCATGCATTCCGTCGGCCAGGTAAATACCAAATTGCAAGTCCCCGTGGCTTGCTCGCAGCAAGAGATGACTTGATTTTGAACGAATGCTTCTTGAGAACAGCATTCCGATGTCTTTCTTTGCAAGGGCCGGGGTGTCGACGTAGACCTGGCCGTGCTTCCAAGATTCAGTCAGGAACTCACCAGATCTAAGGAGAACATACACCGAGCTCAGAGCGTGTCTCGTGTTGCACCGGCAATCTTGCTGCGAAGCTGCAGTTGCCCCACTTGCCAGGAGAAGGCCTGTGTAATCTTGCAGTAGGGTGTTGTCCGGGCTGTTTCGACTGGCCTCATATGTGGGCTCTTGCAGGTGCATGAGGAGATGCTTTTCGACGTCTCCTACAAAGTCATAATGGAGCAGCCGGTCTGCCGTTGAGCCTTACGTCCATGCGGGACCACCTGTCGCAAGATTTGCACAATGGCAGCCTACTTTGTTCCTTTCTCTGAGTGGGCGATGGAGGGAGATCCGAGGTATGAAGAGCAGCGGCTCAGTGCCGCTAAGACGCTCCTGCCGGAGGCTGGTCAAACCTGTGCCGGCTGATGAGGATGGCTGGTTACAAGTTCTTGTGGCAAGGCGAACTTGTCTCATGTCGCTTGAGAGTCCGAACACTGACCGACATCGATCTTTAAGTATCCGGAGCCAGGAGTAACAACCCCTAAACCCTAAACTTGGGACTTGGGGGATTCAACCCTCTGGGTGCTAGACCGTCGCGCCTTCAGGCAGAGAGCAGCCCGAGACCACAGGAGGCGCATGGGAGGAGAGCGGGGCATTCGGGGCCTTTCGATTCGGGCTTGAACGTACCTATGCCTGTGTTGTCCAGAATGACTTTCCACATATATATATATATATGTATGACTCATGCGTTGGCGCTGCTAGACCCTCTGGATGTAACGGCAGAGAGAGGCAGAGGCAGACAGAAAGTAAACAGATTGGAGGTCCGGGGGGCCGAGTGCCTGCGGGTCGTGAGCGATCCCTATAAGCCAGGCAAAAAGAAAGACAGACAGAGAAGTACACATGCACACATGTGTACCTTCATACAGGCCTATGTGGGTGTGGCAGGATAAAGCATTTCAGTCGGAGGTTTTGCCCTATCTTGTGTCATGATGCAAGCAACCCGTAGGTTGTGCTGGGGCTCTTCTTACGAGCCTCAAACCGTCCAGTACGGCTTTTCGCCTCGCGAAATTCAGGATGCTGATTTCCTCCGGTTCTGGATGAGTACGGCTGGCACATAGAAAGAGATGTCCTTGCTTGAGCAAGGCTACGAAGCGTCTGGAATCACTGAAGTTCTCAGTATTCTCTGCCCACAGCCCCTGTCGCACGCTGCAGGTGCCAGAGGCACTGCAGAGACTGCATCCTCGCCTGCAAGCGGCAGAGTATGCTACCTTGAAAAATGCTGCTTTGAGCTGAATCATTAGACAACAGCCAGCCAGCTAGCCGTGCTTGCGAGTCATAGCCGTTCTCGGTTTTTCCATAACTGTCGACAGCATCAAGCTTGAGTCGTCAATCAACGCATGGTGAACTGTGTCGTCTCTGGCGCGCTCTTAGGCAAGCCGGGCCGTGCCTGATCGAAGCAGGGTATGTGCAGCGACTGTACATGTTAGTTGCCGGTGCTGAAGGATAGGAATCCCTGCAGGATGCATGAATGGACCTTGCATGACGGCCTAATTGCCAAGGAATTGGCATTCCAGGAGAAGTCTGCTGCAGTTTGCCCTGCGCTCAGATCTACTTAGCATACAGGAAGGGCCGGATGCATCGAAGTCACACCCGTCCAAACCCGTTACAACAAGCCCAGTGCCTCTGCTCTAGTTGCTGTGGCGTAGTAGCCACGATGGCGGGTCACATCCCATCGGTTTGGAGCCCGAACATGCCAAAACAGTATTCGGCAGATTTCTGGGCCGGAGGACAGGTTGCGAGAAATGACGCGGAATGTCCCATGTTGCAGATTTCACAGGCGACAGTTTCTGTAGCATGACAAGAGTCTTGCCAGATCGCGGAGGTAGCAAAGAGCCCGTCCGCTTGCGTGTTTTACGAGAACGACACAAACTGGGTCTCAAAAAACAGTGTTCACTTCAAGTGTCAACCCTCACAGTGTCCCGCAGTATAGACTGGGGATATTGAGGTGAAAACTGCTATCTGCGCTTCTCCACGGCACAGCGCCGCTGCCGCAAAAAATATGGCCTCAGTAGCGTTGCAGCCATCTTTGAGTCGCGGAGATGCCCTTCAGACAGTGTTTTGGTCTTGAGGATTGGTTTTCCACGTTTACGGAGTCTGGAATGGCTAGATTTAGTCACACTTCCCAAGTCAACACTCTATTGGGTCATAATCGCCGGTCAGTTTAATTCCATCCGCACCTTTCAACCCGGCCAGGCTAGGCCCAGTCCAGCGACTTGCTGCGCCCGAGCTGCGAACAGCAATGGAAGAGGCTGGTTTCACGTGGGTTTTGATGAGGACTCAGCCAGTGCAAGTTGGGCATGGCAAGATGATTTTTCTGTGTGTCAAGGTGTATGGATCTTTCGGTGGCTTAGAGTGGTCGAGTCTCTAATGGTGGTGTTGCGGGTTTTTGTGTAACGGTCTGTGTTTGGGTCTATTTTTGGGTCTTAAGTTGGCCCAGAATACGTCGGGAGGTTGGGTTTCTTCTGGGTCTTGTGTGTTGCAGGGTCTGGGTTTGGATCCATGATATGGCCTAATGGCTTAATATGCAGGGTTCCACAGTACGGTTTGGCTCAAGCCAAAATAGTACGGTTCATCATGTGGGTCTTACTATGCGTATTTGGGTGAGTTGGGAGTTGAGGCATAGGTTGTTTTGGTTTTGGGTCTTCTGGTGGTTCTACCTATGGGTCTTGAATGGGTTGCAGGTTGAGGTATAGGTTGCTATGGTTTGGGTGCTAGGGGGTGGTGCATGGTTCGAAGGTTAGTACATGGAAATGGTCATCGCTAACTTAGACACCTGAAGGCCAACCAAAAAGGGAAGCCAAATCCTAGCGCCGAAACGCAGGCCTTGCTGCGGTTCAAGCCTTCACAGCTTTGCTTTGCGCCCTTGCCTGTCCTGTGCCTGCGCTCCACGCGATGCCGCGCTCGAGCCGTCCTCTCGTTTGCCTGAGCCTTGTGGCTGCGGGGTACGTCGCCACCCGGCTCGCAGCTTTTGTGGCTGCGCCCACTGCACCGAAAGCTCCTCGAACACAGCTCCAGGCACGCGGAGGAGGTGAGTACGATGTCAGTGACGCGGACATCGAGGCCTTCTACTCTTCTCTCCTGACCGGCAGCGGAGGTGACCCTCCCAAGGGCACGGTGCTCTCTGAGCTCGTGGTCAAGTTCTTCCACGGCGAGTTCCTGCCTCAAGGCTTCAAGCGCTACTCCGGCCTGTGGAAAGGCCCGCCGCCAGGCACCATCGGCAAGAAGGACATCGCTGTGGGTGTCATGGGTCTCAAAGAGCAGATGGCGAACCCAATGTTCGTGACCAAGGGTGGCGTTGGCTATGGTGTGGATGAGACCCAAAAGGTGGTCGATGATGGAAAGGGATGGGTGTGGCTGGCAGCTGAGATGAGCCCCGGTGGTCTCGCCCTGGAGCTCTTCAAGTCCGTTCCGTACGGCAAGCGAGCCCTCATTGTCGCGAAGCAAAACAATGTCGACGAGCTTTTCAACTCGGTGAACTGGGATGTTGCGCTGGCCAACGTTGAGAAGACCTTCGGCGGGCCTCAAATCAAGCAGCGCTGAGCCCAGCGAGGGCCGCACCCAGTCGAGCTTGTCGGCCGCATCCCGCAGTGTTTGTAGCCAGCTTGTGGTGAAAGTGCGTAAAGCTCCCTGCAGCTTGCGAGCGATGCTCAGCATTGCAAGCATATTTTTCTATAGGAGGTTTTGTTCGCAACTATGCGCAACTTTTGAATCTGGAGCAGAAAACAGCGAGTGATGTCCGTCTCGACCTGCATTACATCCCGTGAGTGTGTTTTCGCCTGACCTTCTTGGGGTAACCAGTAAGATATTGCTAGTCCACGCACAAGCATACTCCCTGCTGATCTGTCCGCCGGGTTATTGGGTCTTGGCTTAAGGACTACTTTCTCTGGATCGATGTCTCCTTTATGCTGTGATGGTGCCCCGAAGTTGGTACATTTCTACTGTTTCTTTTTGTCGTGAGCTCTGGGTGTCTGCAGGCCATGGTCTGTTTTGGTTTTCGTTGAAACGGGGTTGTGGGTTGACCTCGTCTCGGGACTGGTTGTTTGGACCGTTGACCGAACCAGTATGCTTTCTTTCGGATTCTGACGGTTCCCCAATTGGGCCCGCTTCGCACCCAGCAACTCACTGTCATCATAAAAAGCGAGTCCCAGTGTTAGGGCGTAAGAAGTTAGCGATACTATTCCCGTTGGCCTCCCATTATGAGTTCACAATAATGTATCCCAGCACCCTGCTCTAATTCCGACTACTAAGCAATCAGTCACTTCCCAATAACAAGAGTGCAATGTGCAAATACCCCAGCACCTACGAGAGTAATTAGTCCTAATCACTAAGGCCCCTATACTAAACACGACTGAGACCGTACGGCACCCTCGCGAAACACCAACCCTGAACAGAAGTTGTTTCAGCTACCTGTATTAGAGCCCTTATACTCAACCCTATAATACCTCTTGTAGAACCCTTTATAGGAAAATCCCACTCCAATTTCGAGAGCGTAAACCCTAGCCCTCAGAGAACCCTGTATTTGATACCCCTATAGCAGCCCCTACAGAACCATGTAGTAAATTAAATCCTTAAGGCCCAAATACTAAGACCTTTAATGTTGTAAATGCAGGCCTTGGGTGACGCCGAGGCCGCCCTCGTGGGTACAGGACCTATGTGGGTTTAGGGTTCTATGAAAGAAAGGGGTTTAGGGTTCAGGATTTAGGAACTCCTTCTTCCATGATGCGGCTATGTTTAGGTGCATATGTCAATATCGGCACTGTAGAAGTAGAGTTTCAGGTTACTTAGGGTGGGGTTTGAAGTTTCGGGGGTGGGACAGAGTGAGAGTGAGTGAGCAAGCGCACATGTGCGAAACACAAGCCTGCCCAAATGCATCGGCATGTGTTAAAGGTGTCGAAGGGTGCGTCGAGCCATGCTCGTCCCCGGGACCCTCGGCGTATGACTGACTGACTGGCTGGCTGGCTGACTGTTCATGCAAGTAGGTCAGTACGTCTTGCTGTCTGGACGGATGGAAGGGCTGGATGGGTGGGTTTGTGGATGGCTGGATGGACAGGGTAGATGAATACATGCATTCATGCATGTATGGATGGAATGATGGATGTATGTGTGGATGGATGCATGGATGGAAGGGTCATTGGATGGCTGAAATGACAGTCGTATCGTGTATGCATGTATGGACGGACTGATGGATGTATCCTGCAAGTACGTGTAGATGTCAATGTCTGCCGATGTGTATGTATATTTTAAATATGTATGTATGTATATATATATATATATATGCGTGTATATACATGGGTGTCTGGAACCCCGAGTAGCGCAGCAACTCGCTTTTCGACTGGAGGAGCCTTGGATCCTGAACGCTTGGCTCTGCGGCGCGAGGCCGAGGGGTGCTGCATAGTATACTGTAAGGTACAAATTTAGTAGGTTTAAATAAATAAATGCATCTGTATATACATATATATATACACACACATACTTATGTATTGCTCGTTTGTTTGCCATAAGCAGGAATACTGTAAGTGACAGCATGGCCAGCCCTCGAGACCCACGAAGTCACCGACAAAAGCTCGGTCGCGGGCTTCTGTGCCCGGCAGGTGACGCGCAGGAAGATCCTGGATCGCAGAGCTCTGGAGACCTTCGGCGGCAGCATAATAAGAAGAACCGCAACAGTCTGTTGGCAAGCCTGCGATGGTTGCTGGTCGCACTCATCGATGCACCACTGCTACTGATAGATAAGTGCACAGAGGAACAAACTAAAACCAAAACCCCAAGAGGGCATTACCTCACCTGGTGTGTTTGGTTCCCTTTGGTTTGCGAGGGTTATGTAGTAGTTTGCTTTAGTGTTCCGGTGCACTCAAGTTGACGTACTTTGCGGCCTTAACTGTTGCTCGTGGTCGTGTGCAAGTCATGGCCGACTCGAGTAATCAATGCGTACCGAAAGACCTCGTCTGGCTGTGTCCGAGTTGCGAGAGCCCTCTACTCTTATTGAGACTGGAGAGTCTGAGGGACGCCCTCTTCGATGCCGCAGAAGTCCGTGTGCCCTTGCGAAAGGCTCACCAAGCTGGGCAGGGAAGATGCCGAAAGAACTGGAAGCCAGGGATCCTTACAGTTTGAGGTTCTTCAATTGTTACAACGGTCCTGCAAAGGGGGTCCGAAGGCTCGCTGGTTCGGGGCCCTTGCATGAAGGCTCCGACTATCCAGGGCTCTATGTCACTCTAAGTACTCCCACGGCTGCTATTGAATGCAGCCGGACCTCCGAAGGGCACTGTAGGCTTCTAGAAATAGATCCCCTTAAAGGGTACTGTATAGACTTTTGGGTTCTACAATAATAGGATCCCTTCAATCCGATTCTGGAGCCGGACCTATGAGCCGACTTGTAGAGAAGCCCGAGACTGATCTGAAGGCATCCAGTTGCCCAAGGCTTCCGAGCTGGGGTGCTCCAGCTGAACAGGATGAGGATGTGGGGATGAGTTGGTATCAAGAGCTCAATCAGGAGTTGTTTCCAGCAGCCGTTTTTGGTCGGGGGATCTCGTTAAGATGCACAAGTCGGAGATTCGTCTTCGTGTGGGTTTGCATGGATCTCGCTGCTGCATCTCTGAGCCGCCTTCGTTTTACATGAAGGTCACTTTCCACACTGACCCAGCACTCAGACAACTCCAAAGGTGAGCATGCCGGAATTAGAGAGACAGTTCGTTAATTCGGCCGAACGAGTCGGTGAAGAAAGTGCGACCCAAGCACAACACATAGCGACTTCCAGACACCGGCTCAACAAGTTCCCTTGCAAGCCCGACTGCCTGATGGGTTTCTGTGACATGAGCTCTTGAGGTCCGGATCAGCAGGGCTATCCCCTCTGGGCTCCGACGCCGGTACTCCGACGGCCACCGCCGCCAAAGGGGGCACCGCCGAATGCCACGCGCCTCAGGGAGGCAGAACCACTGCACCGTGGGGGCTTCTCGATGAAGGAATGTCGATTCTAGTAGCAGCTTTACGGAAAGAGCTTGGGGTCGGATTGTCAGATACTTCAAGCAATGAAGATCTTACAGATCTTACACGGCATGAGTGCTGGAAGCCTGCAGTATCGGCGTAGCCTACGATTCACGACCCCGGCGACAGCAGGCAGTGACAGAGGCACCCTTGCGGGAAAAGTCGAGAAGCAAGGCGCAGTGGAGAAGTTGGATTCAGCCTTTCTTTGCAGTTGTTGTTTGCAGCTGGGGTAAGCTGCTGAATCATGATGCAACTTCTCCCCTGTTCAAGCGATGGTATCGCATCGGGAAGTCAGGACCTGGTAAGAACTGGGCAGTTTGACACCCTGGCCATGCAGGGCATCAGATTCGACACCAAAGAAGGTTTCAACAGATGTTTTCCTACATATTCTTCTTCTTCTTCTTTTTGTTGGTTTCGGCTCCATAAGTGCCTCGTGGTTTCTTGACGGTTTCTCTTCAGGTATGACCGATGAGTCGCGACAGTCTTGTCCTGGTTGACAGCCGATGTCGCTAAGTCTTACCTGGGAAGGCACCGCAGCTGAATGGAGATCCCTACCTCAAAGCGATCCAGGCCTGGGGTGCAGCTGAAGCCAGGGATTTCTTTTTAGGTTGAATTGGCTTTAGTTAGAGTTTAGCTAGGCTTGAGTCCAGTACCAAAAGGAGGCCCTCCTTGCTGTATACATATACATGTACCCCCACGGCTCGATTCAGCAGTACTTGACTGATGCAGTCTCACAGGGGTCTGATGCAGTCTCGCAGGGGTCTCGAATCTAGAAACCGTCGTACTGTATGCCCGCTGGAATGACTGGCCCACTCGAGTTTCGCTTGTGGCACAATGAAATACTCGCATCAATGAGTACTGTCGAGTTTTGTACGTCGGTTCTACGGGATGACCGTTTGCGGCATACGAATCAGCCTTCGAAGAATCAAAGGTTTTAGGCTGTCCAGGCTTAGGTCAGAGACCGAACAGCAAAGCTGCAGGAAGGGCAGCTTGCATATACATATAAATATATCTTTATATATGTGTATATACATATATATATATATATATATAATTTCTCTGTATACATATGTAAACACACACACAGACATATATACATATGTGTATATGTATATATATATATATATATATATAGATATTTGCATACAGAGAATCTACCGGCTGCCATTCACACCTGGTAACTTGTTTATCAATACAAAGCGGCTGTGACTCGCAGGATTTCGCTTCTTCCCACCAGCGGCGAGCTGCCGAGGCCCCCGCGATTTCCTATCTCCTTTGTAGGATGCATTAACTATACAATAATGCCAGGCTGCGTGGAACATAGGTAGTGTCATGTTGAAAGACGATTGCCATGTACCATGTAGCACCGGATTTCCTTTCTGTCGTAGACGTAGACTGAAAGACCATCTTGAGAGGGCCCTACAGGGAGGCACCGACATGCTTCAGTGGGCCGAAGCAATAGCATTAGAGCTCTTAAGCTAGACCGGGAGACACGACTAGCGAAAGGCCTGTGACATACATGGTCGTGGCTCTGTGGCTCCAAGGACAGAAATCTCGAAAACGAGACATCCTGAAACTTACAAATCTCAAGAGCACGAGAAGCCTGTGTGCATTATGTCAGAGTCGCCTTCGAGCTCAGTCTTTCTTTGATATTTCCAATCGAGAACCTGTAGCATGTTTCTCATTGTTGCCGGCACGCGGCAACATCCAACTTCGGTATGCCGGTGAAGAATGAGCACTAAGTCATTGAGACGCCCAAGCATCGGCCCGTTAAACGAACAACCAAGGACACCCCAACAAGGAAGCTCGAACTATGAGAAGACCCCCCGCTTGGCTCGTGAAAGGACAAGGAGATAATTCATCTTCTTCCACATGGAGCGAAGTTTTTTCAAAACTAGTTCCATCAGTCAACATGCAAGTGAAGAGACGGAGGCACATGATTGCTGCTGCTGCTCGCTGTGGGCTATCCTTCTTCCCTTTCCTCACGTTTCTTCTAATCCCGCAGCCCTGTAAATCCTGCTAGTTGAGACCCTGGGGACCATGTGGAGCCTTGACTGCCTTGTGCGAGTGTAAGCGTCGAAACCCCTAAACCCTAAAACCCCTTCACATCGCAGACTCCGAACCGTATGCCTCGCCTGGATTGTCCGAGTGTGAGCGCCGAAAACCCCAGCCGAAAACCGTAGACACTAAAACCTAAAACCTGACTCCCTGCAATGCGGGCCTCGTCCTTGCTAGGTAGGAGGGAAAAAACCTAAAACCCTGAACCCTCAAACCCTAAAACTGCTGAAATCCTTGGAATCAGGTCCTGGGCCCACGGGCTGGCGAGAAGCTCGTGGCTCTCACGCGGAAAGGCCTCAGTGATTTGTAGAGGGTCCTTTAAGGGTTCTTTAAGTGGGCATTAAGGGGTCTATAATAGGCAAAAAGACTTCTTTTACGCAGGTTTTATGTACAGGGGTTTCATGGGTTTGAAGGGCAATGTTGCCATTTGAAGCATTTCATGTGCTGTGGTCCAATGTGAACCCAGCACACCCTGTGCCCCAACCCCGGGCCTTTACATAGATGCTCATGTATATAATTAGCTTTGGATCGTGTATTTCGATGGCTTCTAGTGAGTTAAATCGTTGTGAGCATGGACCGCTTCTTATTCATCTGGTGCTGATGCGCCTGGGTCTTAATTACTACTCAAGTCTTGTACCATGGCTACTAGCACAGACTATGCTTGTTAGTCTTATTGTGCTTGGTCTTATTGTTGCTCTTCTGATTGTGCTTGTTAGTCAAACAAAAATGGACTGAAAGAAGACAATATGCTCTTATTCTACATAATATGATAAGTCATAACAAAATGTATCCAAAAAGTGACAGAATACAAAAATTGTGTTATGTTCGACACCACAGTATCAGTCTTATTCTTAATCTCATCCTTATTCTTACTCTTGCTCTTACTCTTATTCTTATTATCATTATTATCCCTCCGTATGCTTGTTTTTTATTATTCTTGCTGTGGTGGTTGTTGGTTCTTGGCTTTTGTTTCTTGTTTGTTGCTTGTTGCTTCTTCTTCTTCTGATGGTGGTGGTGGTGGTGGTTGCTGCCGCTGCTGCTGCTGCTGCCTCCCAGGAGGTCTGACAGAGGCATCACCATAACACGTGGAGCTTTGGGATACTTCTTCTGTCTCAGCTTCTTGCAGGTCCAAAGGTGCCTGCAGCCGGGGGCGATGTGCTGGAACGCCACGTGGCCCCAATTAGGTCGGAGCTGAAGCCTGCAGCTGTCCACTATGCAGTTTTCCGAAAGAGAGCACCCTACTTTCGTTGCAGACTTCAACACCTGAGACTTCTGACCGGCTCTTTGCCCGGAAGGGCTCTGTTTGAGCAGGTTTGGTTGGTTTTCAAAGCAGTGTTTTTTCAAGAGAGGCTCTGGGCGCAGTCGAAGATTTGCAGCCAGCTCTGTATGAGGCATCCCGAGCGACGAGGAAGAGGTTGCACGCGAGAGACTTCGGCTGCAATTCACGAACTCCAGAACTGCAGGCTCTGATAGGAAGCACGGGGTGAGGACTGAAACTGCGCACAGAGAGCAGAGGCTCAAAATGCTAAGCCAAATGACATCTGATTTCACCCGTGTCGAAGGCAAGTGCGGAAATACGTCTCCCGCCACAGCTCTGCAATCTCGACACCGACGACGAGGTCGGGTGATGTGTTATCTCAACGTTTGCCCTTGCTCCTCGCTCGTTTGGACGTGTATAAGGGTCCTGCACCATTGTGACGCTTCGCTTGCAGCTGTTGTTTTCAATTGGCCGGATTCGGATTTCAATTGTTTCGGGTTGCAATATCAATGTTCAGCTGCAAGTCTGTCTGCATCTTCCTGCGCCCTGTTCTTTGGACTCTGCGGTTCTGTGTTAAGCAAGATGCACGATCCGGATGCCCCGCGGTGACGAACCTTCGCCCAGCACTCCTTTATCGTTTGGGCGTTCTTGGGCTCGTTTCCGCACTGTCGAAGCACTGCCGGCTCATTGCTTTCAATGTCGGAAGATGGCTGACATGTGCACGGCAATGCAGAAGTACCCAGAGAGCCCAATACCCCTTAATTAAGGAGTATACCTTAAATCATAAGGGGATTCATAATATCATTTAAGCTATATTCCTTAATTAAGGGGTATTGGGCTCTCTGGGTAGTCTACCATGAAAAGATACTCAGATCATGATTATGCGTGCACAGGTAGATAGATGGTAGCTAGGTAGGTATATAGGTACCTAACAGGTAAATAGAAGACTACAGACAAAGATGGATATGTAGGTGTGCATCTGTGCACACTGTATGTCAATGCGCGCTGGTGGATATGTATATACACATACAGCATACACATTGTGACAATATGCGTAGATGTATACATACATACAGACATACGTAGTTACATACTCACTTACATACATTGCATGACATTCGTTGCATACACCAGCTTCCTCGTGTCTTGACATTCCGGCCTCCAACAAGGGGGTGCTTACCCACAGGCCCCATAGCAGCTCCGTTTGCGGATTACCTTATAGAACTCTCAATATGAGCCCCGAAATAAGGAACCTATGGGGCCTATGGGCCTATGGGTATAAACCCAAAACCCTTAACCCTCTTAGAAAAGTTGACTCGAGTGCGCCTACCTGGAACGTCGCTGCGAACAAAGAACCTCGTCTGGCCGTGTCCGAGTTGCGAGAGCGTAGACCCTCTTAGAACCCTTAGGTGTTCCTTTAAAGGGTCCCCCCTAAACCCTAAACCCTAAACCGTCCCCCCTGGACCCCCTTTGCTACGAAGGCCACCATCGCACCTGGACGGCAACGGCTCGGCGCCCTCTTCGAATCCCACTTCCCGGCCGTCCACACGGCCCAGCTCACGAGGCCCCTAAGTTGAAGGGGCCTTGTTAACTAGAGTGGGGTTCTTTTTAAAGGGGGCTCTATATTGGGGTTGCTATAAGGGATATATACTATAAAGGGTGCTATAGCACAGGGCCTTAATCATTAGAATAGGGTTTTGGGTCCCATGGATACTGTAATTGTAATAAGGAGCCACCAGAATACTTTGGGTATTTATTTGGGACCCTACATTAAGTTTAAGCTTCCGGTTTTCAGCTGCTGTGTATGTGGTACTGGGCAGATCTACGCAACCGGCGGAACCTGCCGCTAACTTTGGGTTATTGAGGTTTATTTCATTCTGAAACCGTCGCTGTTCGCGCCAACTTGTTGTGCTTCCACGTGCCGGATGCAATTTAGTGTTAGGAATCTAGGTGTTTGGCTTTCTGTTGTTGGGTGGTTTCGTTCAAGATGCGTAATTTTTGGGGT